CATCTATTTTATACCTAGAACATTTAGCAAAAGACCAGTCATTAAATTTATAGGTAATCGATTGAAACCAAAAAGGGATGGAGCCATGGAATCGATTAAAGGAACGGCGAAAGCAGTTACAGAAGAGAATGAATTATTTACAGCCGATAAAAAGCTTTTTCTGGAAAGTTCCCTAGCGAATAGGATGCCGTGAATCCCACTTTCTGACTAATAGGGAACCCTCCATCCCGAGCATGGGAACTGTGTAATTATGGAAAACGGTTCCAGGGAGCTGTTAATTTGCTTTTCAATGGATCTGAGAAAGATCTTGCTAACCTAATGTTAATAAATTTCAGTATGATCTATCTTTAATATAGAAGTGGGTAATAGTTTAATTCAAACCAAACAATTATCAATTAACTAAAAAACAATTAAGTATATGGTAAGTGATACAAAGAGTAACCTTATAACATGTATAATTAACAGCTATAAGTAGTTACTTGACGAACTATTGTATTGTGACTTTATAATGTTCAAAATAGAAATTGACACAAATCAGGAACTTTTTATTCATTACATAAAATACAAATAGAATGATTTTCTGATTTATAACACACACTGAATGTAACCTCCTATACTCTATTAACATATGTTTTAATAGCAGATGGTATACAACTTATCGGTAATTATTAATTTAAGAACTAATGTTTTATCTTTATAAGGAGGTGATATTAAAATTAAATGTAAAGAGAAGATAAACATCCATTCTATTAACAAAAACTTTTAATTGAGTTTCAATGTTGATAGTTCTATCAATAAATTTTATACTATTGATTGGTAACTATCGATAAACATTTTATAAGTTCCAAATCAAACAATCTTGAAAGCAGTGTTGCCGCTTATACGAGTCGATTATTAGCATTGACCAGCTTCGTACTTCGTACATCATTTTTGCTGATGTATGCAAAATTATATTTTTATGAATGTTTAGATTTGTATTACAATTGTTTTTACTGTGTTGTTATTTATATTAATATGTAATACTTAACTTCTGTTGCTTTATAGACAAATAAATTGAAATTACATCTTCTTTAATTAGATTATAATTATTATTTCTTTCATAAAACATATTTTATTAATTTTCTAGTAAATAAATTTAAAAAACATTTTTAATGTAATTTAAAAAAAATATTCTCTACTTTTATCGTGTATAAAATAAAATATAAGAAAGTATATCCATTATTTCATTCATTATTGTAATGATTGTTACTTGACTCATAGTTCTAAATAGTTCTAAGTAAATAGTTAAATAGTTCTAAGTAAGCGAAATAAAAATAAAAATTAATACTAAAAATTAATATTTAAATATTTCAATTATATGTTAAATAGTTTCGAACTTCGATGAAGTCATAATAATGTATTTTCTCTTTATTTTTATTAATAATAGGGATATTGTATTCTTTAAAAGTTTATTTTACTATTTTAATATTTTTAGAAAGTTTTCCAATAGTTTAAAATGAAATATATGAACTTTTTTATTTATTAATATCGTACCTTAAATTAAACTCATTTTACTTCTTAACCCACTAACTTAAAAAAAATACATAAAAAGGCTTTAAAATATATTAATAGAGGTAATAAGCCAAGCTCTTGCCTAATTTTATTTAAAAAAACAAAACAATAACATTGAGCCTAGCACGAATTTTCAATGAGCTAGTGAGCGAGAATGTACGAGGTTTGAGGTACGATGTCTTGTCACAGAGCGCGCGGCAACACTGCTTGTTAGTTAGATGTATTAGAGAATGTTTTGAAATATTTTCGGCAAAAACTATTGGTGTTTGGTTATAGCTGGGGTTATTTAAATTTTATAAAACTCATCCAACCTATTCACAAATTTATCATGAACATTTTTTTTTTAAAATATGTATTCGTTTATTGTTCTTATTCACTGTATAGGTTGAACAAAAGTGGATATACTTGTTTGCTCTCTTTGGTATGCGGAATTGGTCTGTCATAATAAGAACTTTTGAGTCTTATTCTTGTTCTGGCAACGTTATATAAGCTTTCTTCTAGTAATTACGTACTCATGTTCTGCAAGGATTTCCTCAGTAATTATTTTATAATAATAACATCAATAATAAAATGGATGACCTCCTAATAAAAATTACCATACTAACGAAAAAGGAAAAAGAAAAGTAAAATAACTGTATTGGGATGGTAATAGCAGCGATACAGACCGGTTCTGGCGATATTCCGCCAGCCAGTTAGACGACCTTCCAGAAGATTACTAACCCAAAGGTTCACGAACTGCTCATTCCTTTATTTTCTATGTATTTTCTCTTCAAGATAATTGTACTTGATAACAATATATACGTCTGCAATACATTCATTAACTACATTAACATATAGACTGTCGAAGTCCCTTACGAATAGCAAATTACTTATGTCCAAATGATAAACCAAGAAAACAAAAAATATTAAATAAACTAATAGTCCGTAGTAGAGAAGTTGATTTCCATTTAGTCCGTAAGATAATTGATCACAAAATAGAGCTAATAGGCAGCCTGTAAAAATATTTAGCCGTTTGGGCTATACTACCTCGTTATTTTTGACATTTTGGGGAATTTAGATCACGCCAAACAACTCAATACTTTTTCTCGAGTTAGTGGCCAAATTATCTTACGATTCGAGTGGGAAGCAAATGGATATTTAAAAGTTTTTAGTACCTAATTAAATAAACAAAGTTTGACGATCTCCAGATTGAAAGCGCCAAAAATACTTTTCACCCTACCTGTGTCAGTATCAGTTTGACACTCTAGCGTCATGTTGTATAGTTTATTTTGTTGTGCAACCCGTCTGGGGTCAACGATCAGGACGAGGAAACAATGATTCATCTTTCTTAATTTGAAATCATAATAAAAAAAAATACACTGTTGAGAGGTACAAAGATAATGTTTTATACTTAACATTCCTATCAACAAGAAATATTAAAATAATGATATATTTTACAGTAAATCAGTATCTTAAATTTAATATTTAATACAAATTATTATTGTTAAAATCACATTTTTCTCTTGTCCCTGTATTTTTGGATACTTTTTAACACTTTCAAGCAGTTGTTTGGTCAGGAATCATTTATCCTGAACGAGATCAATGTTACTGATTACTGGACTTTCTTTCAAACTTTCATAGACTAAACAGACTTAATTAATTCTTCGATTTTACTATGTGTTTAACCTGAACCGCTTTGCAAAACTGCAGACTCCTCTGAAACCATTAGGTCTTACAGGCATTTTTTTTTTCCATTTACAGCAATTTCAGAATGAATGATAGTCGAAAAAAATAATGATATTATTCCTTTTTATTGAAGTTGTTGAACAGATCCGGAACTGCCTAATACCCTTCATTTTACTAAAATATACTTCTCTTTATGAAAATAGAATTACTAACACTCAAGTATAAGAGGATTTTCGATTCGACAGTGAGTACACATTTACTTATTAGTCCAGTCAATCAATGATAGAAATGGCGGGGACACAATTTTGACTTTAAGATATTGTTCAATATAGTAAGGAGGTCAACATACTAAAAGTTCCCACTCTTAGGTGGTGAGCAAGATGTAGGGGAGGAGAGTGAGTTCGACTAAATCACTTTTTTTCGGGTTTTCACTTATATCAGGGAAACTATCCATCGTATCGACAAAAATGTTGTATGCAAAATTAAAGCTGATTAAATTTGAAATATGATTGATTCTATATCTTTTTTCCCTATCTTGCTTAGTTTCCGAGATAGCCGTCCTCAACTATCGCCACCACCATCTTTTTATTTTTTTTTTTATGTTTACCTCCTTAGAAAAGTATAGAATAGAAAATAATTTTATTCTGGGACGAAGTCCCTTTAGAATAACAAAAAAGTACAAAATTAAAGTATTATATCTGGCGTAAGTAAAAACAAACATAAAAAGTAAAAATAAAGAAAAAAAAAGTAAAGAAAATATTAGTTAAACATACTTATTGTATATCTTTACTAGTCCAAACAATATTTCAAAGTCAAAAATTGTTTTCTCGCCATTTCCTTCAATACCCCTTTTCGAGCATTCATTGACTGGACTATTTTTATATTATCATCTTTCGCAAGCAATTAAAAAAAACTATTTAAAAAAATGTCTTAATCGATGGACATTATCTGTATTTACTGCTCGTAGAAAATTAATACTATCCTTAAGACCCTAAAGCTGTTCTTTCAACTCAAATATTTTACTCTAGAAAACAATGCATCTTGGATCCTCCAGATATTGGCATGTTTAACAGTAACAGATCTTAGCTATATCCGTTAGGTGTAAAAATTTATTTGTTCTATCATGATTTATTCTAGGCTAGGTCATCTTTACTAAACCAGAGCGGTCAAGACGTTACCTTCTGCTGAACTGTTTCATGGTTCTTATTTTTTGAGGTGAACCCTCACGCATAAAACCACTGTGAATCTTTCATTATCAAATTCATTATCAAAAATAACGATATTTTAATAAAATATTTTTTGTCGAGAAAACCTAGTCTGTTGCAGCAGAACATCCTTTCTGCAGCTCCTATCCTTTGCCTCACTTTTTTGTCGATAAAATTGCTTTTGCTGAACTTAGCATCTAAGCATTTAAAGCTTTCAACCTGCTCCAAACTCTTAACCATTCAATTATTACTTGATGATATTTATATTGTTCTGAATGTCAAGGTCATTCTTGTATAATATGACGAGATCGTCAGTAAACACCTGCAGAGAGCAGAGTAGGCTGCATATAGGTATGTCCCAGATTAAAGTTACACATCTTCTCTCTTACACAACGCTTTATGGAAAAACAATACGAAAAGAAGAGGGCTCATGCTGCAACCCTGAAGTATGCCTAGTTTACTTTCGAATTCACGAAAGATATCTTTGCTCGTTCTAACCAGATTGCTGGTTTTACTGCTAACGGCCAATTTTTTACTCTTTCTTCTAAAATTATTTTACGAACTATATTGCCTGTCCAGGATTGAAGATCTGCCTGCTGGGGGCGAAGGGCACTGTGGGGCAGCCCGTGTCGCTGATGGTGAAGCAGAGCCAATGGTTCGAAGAGGTGGCCCTCTACGACCAGTCGAGCTGCAGGGGACTGGCCATCGAGCTCAACCACATCGACACCCCCTGCCTCGTCACCAGCTACGAAGGTGAGGAAGGCCTCAAGCAAGCCCTCAAGGTAATGTCAGTAATGTTAACCTACATCAGTATTTAATATCAGGGCAGTCTTGATAGTCCGAATACCTAGAGTGGCTTAGTGGCTTATTCGAATAATAATCCATAACATAAGTTAACAAAATATATTATCAGTTACATATAGAAACAATGCAAAAAAAAAAAAAAAAAAAAAACGCTAAAAATTATTACACATTGGTTTATTATTTCTGGTTACCTGGTTATCTGTTTTTTTTTATTTTACCTGGTTTATTATTTCTGGTTATCTGGTTACTTGGCAACGACGGTGCTGTGCACATGCGTTAACCTGCCCGCCTCATGTAAGTTTTATGTTAAAAATCTCTGATTTTGTCGCTAAAGAATACGCCTGATATCGCAATTTTTTTAAAATACTAGATTTTGATACTCGACGTTGTATACATTCTCTCATTCTACACCAATTACAAAAGACTCATATACATGACTATAATAAGGCACATATACTCAATGCTAATTTTTCACTAATAAAATCAACCATAACGACCTTAATGTTACATATTTCGCCGATTTGGCTTAATCTCATTGTTCTTCCATAATAACCTTCAGGATCTTCCGAACTCTCTAGTTTCTGACCTTGCTCCATCTGACCATCTTCGATCCATGCAAATCCTCCGAAATACGTCAGAAAAGGTCTCGTGATCTTTTAATATAGCATTTTGTTTGAATGCTACAAATGGATTTGAATACTATAAATTGGGGAAGTTTTTCTGAAAGCGGAGTAAGTGTAGTACAGTTGAATGGTGATAAAAAAAAAATCACAAATAATTTATGACTTTTTTTTAATGGAACTTAGCTGTGTTTATTTAAATAATTAATTGCTTGGTTTCTCTACAAGTCTTTTCATGTCATTATATTTATCAGTTCGCCATTACAAATTATATTATATGTTAATTGTAAATACTGTACAATTATGTTAATTATTAATTTAAAAAAACGTTATGGCCAGACATATAAAAAAACTTAAATATAGCCTATCTAAAACAGTATACAGATCGGATTTGACAGTGTCAATGGTACTGAAATAAAAGAGGACCAAGAACAAATCAACGTAGACTGAGCAATATTGCTAGAGTTGTTTACGTGCTCTCTCAAAACAAAACATCCCTAGTCTAGTCTTTACGGCGTAGGCTGTCCTTGCGAGTTACATTAGGCCATATAGGGGTCAGCTGGCCGTCAGGTAACCGGCAAACACTTCCCGTTCACGAACGATTTATTCTAAAAGATGTTCTTTTGTTTTCAAATAACATAAATTTTCATTTTATTAATTAATTTTTATAATATAGTTCGAATTAAATTAAAAAACGATCTAATTGTTTATCAGCATCACTAGAGAGCGGTATTCCGCAGCGATCGATGAGAAAGGATCGCAGTTCGCTGGACCTGAAATGATATTGTGCGTTTACGAACTATTATATATATAATATATAATAGTTCGTATTTTATATATATATATATATATATATATATATATATATATATATATATATATATATATATATATATATATATATATATATAATAGTTCGTAAACGCACAATATCATTTCAGGTCCAGCGAACTGCGATCCTTTCTCATCGATGTCTGCAGAATAACGCTCTCTAGTGATGCTGATAAACTATTAGATAGTTTTTTAAATTTAATTCGAACTATATTTTAAAAATTAATTAATATAATGAAAATTTATATTATTTGAAAACAAAAGAACATCTTTTAGAATAAATCGTTCGTGAACGGGAAGTGTTTTTTTTCCGGTTATCTGACGGCCACCTGATTATATATATATATATATATATATATATATATATATATATATATATATATATATATATATATATATATATATATACATATATATAATTATTTAATTCGGCAATGAAATGTATATTAGCCGATATCTAACGATTTATGTAAACTATCATGCTCATACATTTATAATTTCAGAAAAATATGTTAACCAATTCATCAACCAGCTCCACAAGTAGGGCAGAGGACTGCTGTCCATTAGAAAGTCGTCATAGCGAGTCGTATTTTCTTTCCAGAGCAATTTTATCTTTTAAATTATTTCACCGTAAGAATATTGAAAAAAAAAAAAAGAGAAAACGAGTTTATCAATTTCTTAAATTATATTTTGCTGTATTAAAAATAAAAAATTAACAATATTTGTGCCTCCCCCCCCCCGATGTTTTAAAAATATCTTAAATAAATGGAAACGTACACACTACTTCATACAAAAATAAATTAACTCTTCCAACACAAAAATATCTTTATCTGTATATGAAATCAAATTTATTTAAAATAAGCCACTATCACTATTCTCAATTAAAATACAAGGAATAGTATCGTCACCACTCCTACTCCCGGTAAGAACCAATTCTCACAAACCTATGGTGGAGAACTAACTCGAACACCATGGTTTCCTCCTGTAGACATTCTTAAAGCGGAATTTCATGGAGATAACACTGAGCGGTAGTATTGCCCAAAAATGGTCTTGGTCTTGAACTTTTGCAAGACCAAGACCGCTTTGATTGTCGCAAAACCAAGACCAAGACCGGACCCTACAAGTCTTGCGCAAGACCAAGACTGACCTGCAAGAGTCTTGTGTCTCGCAGTTAAACTTTTTTAAACGTTTAAACTTTAAACGTTTTTTTGTTTTTTTATTCATTGATATTTTCAACTCTATTAAAAAAATTAATACAACTAGTAAATTTGCAATACTAAATAAACCTTAAGGTGTATCTCATTTTTGTTTTCCAAATAAATCTCAACTTAATTGGTATGAAATTAAAGCTTATTAAACGAGGAAGTTTTTTCTAAAAGCGGGGTAAGTGTAGTACAATTGAATGGTGATAAAAAAAAATCATAATTTATGACTTTTTTTTAAACGGAACTTAGCAGTGTTTGTCGGCCCAACAGTCATCTTTAAATAATTTTAACAATGACAAACTCTACTTTCGTCCAAATTAAATTTTACCTAGTTTACTATGGAGCAATTTTTAATTACTTAAATCGAATAGTTTTTATGTTATCGCTTCCTATTCAACAAAAAACGAGACAAGCTTAAAAAACACAAATCTTAAATTTCATACTTTTCTACTGAAAATTGGGCAATTGTTTATATGACCTTAATTAATAAGAAAATAAAATAATGCAAGGTCTCAAAAGATAAAGAAATCAAATGTTACTTCATCGATAAATATAATCGACAAAGATTATAATTAATTAATTTAAATCTTCGTTTTTGTTTGGAACAAACATGTTCACAAATTTCAGTAAGCTGTATCTTTGTTAAAAATAGTCCCAATTCCGATGATTTTTTTTCCTTTTGTAGGGGATTTAGTAATCTTTTATACAATCATGGGTATAACCAAGGGAAAAGTGTGTCATTTTTTAGTTGTTCGCATATAAAGTTTGTTTTCTTTCATAAGTTGTTTGCCTGAATTTTCGGGGTGATTGGACTATTTTGCCCGCCTGAAGGAGAAGGAAACCTTCGAAATTGGTGGCTCAATCTTGAGATTCGGTGAAAAATTAACGATGATATGGCATGACGATCAAAAACACCATCGATAAATAATATAAACTGCTCCTCTCGATCATAGAGACCTCAAGTCGACGAAATGAGACATGTATCCAATGACAGTAGCACAATTAATATAAGGTTGTGTGGATGTGAACCCAATGCCTTGCGTAATCTCAAGAATAATACGTTTTGGGGCTTAAAAACGCAGGATCCGATAGTTCCGGAGGAACTATCCGGGTCTTGCAGTACGCATCAAAATCTCCAAGATCCATATTGTCCCGTAACGATCTACAGACCTACCACCGTTCCAGTATTGAAGCCTAGCAAAATGTTTGTATGTGGAGAATACGATTCGCTAACCCCCCGTGAAATTCTGAATCCAACGGTACCCCATTCATGGTATTTGAGCATGACAGGAGCTTATATTTGGTACAAAATCTATTTCGAGCCTTACTGTAATAATATATGTGGGGATAATAACTAAGATTGTCAAGTATGAGTAACTATTTTGAGTTATTTTTTATTTAAAAAATCGATTTTTTTTTATTAATCTTAGTCTTAGTCTTGCAACAGTTAGGCGGCTTTGGTCTTGGTCTTGCACTTTGCAAGACCAACGTCGATTTTGGGCAACACTAATTTCAGTGCAACTAGAAAGAGGTATATCGGATATTTTGAAGTATATTGAAACATTGGCTATTTATGACCGCCACCCCGGAACATCTCCTTCCTTTAGAAAGAGGTATAGTTTTCAGATAGACGATGAATTCAAATAAAGTATGAGAAGAAGTTAATCGGGGTGCGGTCAAATAAATACTAAATTAAACAAATAGTAATTATTTAATTACTATTTGTTTAATTTAGTATTTACTTGACCGCAACCCCCGATTAACTCCTTCTCATATTATATCAACGGTCAACCATCTCTACATCATTATAAAATGAAGTATATATTCGAAATATTTATTTTGTTATTTGCTTGGTTTTAAACAATTAAAGTTGTCATAATGCAACGATTTGTTATTTCAGGGGTCCAACGTGGTGGTCAATATGACAAGATCTTCGTTGAAGCCAGTCACCGACAAGGGTGATCCCTTCATTGATAACGCCCCAGCAACGGAACAGTTGTCCAAGTTCTGCGCAATGCATTGTCCTCAGGTATTAACTAATTGTCAGTAAAATATATATCAACAGGGCTTTAGTTGATATTAATAAGATACACGTTAATTATGAGGTGTTTCTTATATCCTATATCTTCGGAAGCATATATCTTCGGAATCCCAAGGGACGCCTCTGTTTTCCGTTTTTATGTAGAGTTAAAGTGGCTTTACCCTTCCTACCGTCGTATTTCCTGGCATCCTTCCTCATTCAAGTGATATAATCCCACCGACCTTCATACATCTCCGAGCTCCTCTAATTCAAATCCTCTGTTCGCTCCCGCAATACTCGTTCCAGGTCTTCTGATTTATACATAATGGCCCGAACAGCTGCTTTCGACAGATCATTCATTATCCGATCCTTATCCTTATGGAACCCCATATCTTCCCACATCCGTCAATCCAATACTCTTCCTACCTTTAATACCGCCTGTTCAATCATTTCTTATCCATCCAGTCCCCATAAAATTGTAAATAGATACCACTGTAAATATGTATATAAATTATTAGATTGTTTATCATTACTTTTACTTTTTTTTTTAAATTTTCTATTATTATCTTATTTAAGTTAGAAAGTAACATATAATTTTTAATATGACTATTTCATTACTCAATATTTCTTTTCATGTATCTCTGAGGCTCCTCCTTTCATTACTGTCCTTAAGTATTATTTTAAAGGGACTTGTCCCAGAATAAATAAAGTACTATTATTATTATTATTACTTTTTTACTAATCCAAGATGGCGGCTGATTTCAAGATTATTTAAAGAACGCTTCTGCTAGATTTCCGAAAATACCCGAATGTTTCCGAAAGAAGACGTAGTATACTAATTCTTGATAATGAATTACCAGATTTTTTAAGAGGGCAATTTATATTATATTATAATAGTCCATAATCATTATTAAAATGTTGAAATAAACTTCATTTTTAATATTTCTAATAATAGGATTATTAACTACGAATAATATTAATTGCAACGCTTTTAATTTTCGCGGTGATAATATATATATCTTTTTTGGAAGGTATTATTTTATTATTGAATATTGATACTGTTAGTGCAAAAGGCCATATGCAAAATTTTAATATTTTACAGGAGAGCATAAAAATTATAATTTCTTTATGTTTTATTATTATAATTTCATATTTTATTTCTCTCTGTTATTTTTCATAATAGCAGACTACTGATAGGAGTTTGAAACTACAAAGTGTACCTTTAGCACAAATAGAAAAAAAAATGGAAAATTTTTACATACGACCATTTGCACTGACAATAGTGATATACGTTTTTTTCCCGTCCTGCATTCTTTCGTATCTAGCAGTAACGAGGAGAATTTTTTCCATAAGTATTTTCTCCATATCTGTCAGTGAGGATTGGAAATTTCAATTTAATTTTAATATTATGTATATTAACATTTTATGTTGAAAGCAAACAAGCTAAATCGACTGATTTTTTTTGCAAAATATATTTTCATTATTAAGAGAAGTTATTAAATTATGATAAGAGAAGTTCGTTGTAGATTTCAGTCATTAAAAGCAGAAATGGGTAAATGCTACTCTGAGTCTTGAGGTACCGAGTGTTCTCAAATACTGACCTTTTTTGAGTACCAAAGAATTTAATTACTACTTCAGTTGATTCCAAAAGATTAACTGAAGTAGTGATTGAATTACCAATAGTGATACGATTTGAGTAAAATACTTAGTGGTCTGTACTCAGGGTTGTATTTGCCCATCTTTGATTTGAAGTACACAAAAAATATTTGTTTTCTTTGTACCCAAAATTTGGCCCAAGAGTTTATTAGGTAGTATTTTATTATTTGAGATACCGTCGCGTTATTGCAAAAAGTCATCAAGTGACCTTTCATAACCTTAAATCAAGAAGATATTCGATGAATTTTCTCTTTGTGAAATTTGAACGTTGTACATTTGTTGAAACTATATTTGGTAAATAAAAGATATTTTGCTGTAATTCTTGTGTTTATCAATAAATGAGGTAGAAATTTTAAAAAAAAAAAAAAACGTTCTTTCAAGTTCGCACCATAAATTAGTGTTGGACGCGAGATCCAGACGCGAGACCGAGACGAGTCTTGGTCTTGCACAAGTGATTCGCAACAGTTTTGCACTTACCTATTAGCTTACTACTTGAGAGATATTACTATAATTTCTAGATAGGAGAAACCTAACCAAGTCTGAATAAAAAATTAGAAGAGTTAAATGCAAGACCATATTGGTTATACCAATTCTTTAAATATAGTAACTAAAATTGTCAAGTATTAATAACTATTTTGCCTCAACTTTTATTCAAAAAATCGATTTATTTTTACTACTATTGGTCTTGGTCTTGCAACAGATAGGCGGTGTTTTGGTCTTGGTCGTGCAAAGTGCAAGACCAAGACCTATTTTGGCCTACACTACCATAAAGGTACTTACCAGGAGAAAATACAGTGTGTGGGTAACTGATTTAAGCCATTTTTTTTTTTTTTTTTTTGCTTCTACACCGAAAACTATTAGGCATATATCCCGTCGTCTTTCCAATGGGCTCAGCAGCCGAGAAAAAAAATATTTTACATAATTTCAAACAAAATTTATGTTATTTATTTTTGCCTTTGCTTTGCCCAGTTTTTATATTTATACTTGGATGAGTTTTATTCAGGCCGTCAAATAAAGCATTTATTAATTCCTCAGGATTTTCTTCAAAATCAAATTTAATATAACTGTTGGAAAACTGAATTACTGCTCTTTCGACTGATACCAGAAACTTTTGGATTTAATTTTTTTACTTATTCTATTATTTAATCTAGATACCAGATCAGTTTTTAATAAAAAATGTATTTGATAGATAGCTACAGTATCAGCACAACCAATTTTACAGCTTTTTACCGACAGTTTTAGACCAACCGAAGTAGCAATGTGGGGATAAATAATTTTTTAGGGAGAAACAAAGTTGATATGAATTTTTCGCACCTCAAAAAGCTCTTAAATACGATTTCTATAGCAGCCGGAGATATTTAAGTATCAGAAATGCGGGATTATAACCTAAACAACCTTTAAGCGAAGAACTCTTTCAGTCAAGGTAACAATATCGGATGTAAACAAGAATGTCAATGCTCGGCTACTTTCGGCATTCATCGAGAATCTGTGATCTTGAACCGGCCGCCATCTTGGAGTAGCGAAAGGAAACTAGTAGTACCAATTATTGTAATTAGAGTAACGAAATAATCAGGTTGATCAGTTTAGTCAGATTTTTTGTCTCTGTTAATCCTTCACTATCCGACTTAATCACTATTTATACCCATTTCGATAACCTTGACCTTTTTGTTTGTTTCATCTTTCTTCAGACAGATTATTTTATATAACAAATTATTCTTGTTGCAATTTTCTCCACGTAAGATAGCAAACACTGTTCAAATCCATGACGGAATTTAATCTATAATGCATGTTTGTGGATTTGTACTTTCAAATATCAGGACTAGAGGTCTCTCAGTCTCTGACGTCAGACGTGTTCGCCTGACCTAACAGCGATCACCAAGGCAACAGCATTACGCAGTGTTGCTCTTAAACTAGTTTATATAAAACATTTAATCTTTATTTTTTAAAGATATTTATTAAGTAATTAATTGGAAATATAATCACGTTACTTTAAAAAAAATCATTTATTGATATTGCCCCCTTTTTTTCTATTTTTTTTTTTCGTGACCGAAACCTAAATTACAAATTTAGTAATTTTGCATTCGACGTATCTAATTACTATTCATATGCTCATCTCTTACTTTATTGTTTCAGATTATCATGTTACAATTATATATTATTATGTTGTAATTATATTATTTAAATTAAAAAGCACTGAAAAATGAAATATAATGCAAATATCACACTATCCTAAACATGTATGAATAATGAATTGAATAACGAGACTGATACTATAAAACATTTTATTTTGATTTTATACACATTTACTTATTATCACCTTCAATACATACACCTCCTCTATACCTGTGCTTGCCTCCACTTGTTCGAAATTAAATAAAAATTTCAAACCTTATGAGAATAACAGAGTAGCCTCAAATCAAAGATGGACATCTACCATTTTTATTTATTTAATAAACGTTGAGGAAAAGTCTGTTTTTGCAATATAGCACCAATTCTATTGATTGTTTTTCGTAATTCAATTTGAACATAAGTATAATAATCATAAACAGTTTGAGTTCAACCTATAAAAAAAAAATTGATTTTTTCTTCAATTCCTGAAAATGACAGATGTCCGTCTTTGTTATGAAGACACTCATTTAATTTTAGCATGTTAATAAAGCAATAGAATTATGGGAATACTGAATGAAACAGAAATTGGAATATGTGTTATAGAGCAAAAGAAATAAATTAAAGTTTTTAGAGGAGATGACGTCATTGCCCAAAGGGGCCAAATGTCTAGGGTCGGCAATGCATACAACGCTCCATAGAAATATAAGTTGTCCACTGTCTAGGACAGTTCTGTAAATCTTCTTATGTCAGCTTTTCAAGATGGATGCCGCCTTCTCTTGCACAGCTTAAATGACTCAAATCTTGTTGCTTTTAATGCAGATTGATGAATCATGGATTTTAATTAAGACACTGAAACGCCAATCCGTGCACTGGAAGAGCACTTCACCGAGAGACTAAAAAGCTAGAGCAAATCAGAATTCAAATCAATGATGATTGGTTTGTTTTCGCTATTCATGGCATTTTGCACCTTCACTGGGTCCTGAGGTTCAAATTATTAATCAAAATTACTTTATTCACATTATTGCTGAAAGATAAAGTGACAGAAGGAGACTTACAGTTGCGTTTCAGGCAATTGAAGGTTCGCTTGGAACGCTGAAGGAATTCAGTGTGGTGGAGTGCGAAGGACATTAAAGGTGATAATAAGTGTTGACGCCAACATGAATATTTTTATTGTTTATTTTCACCATATCATAATATGAGGGTTCAATTTTATTTTAATTATGAATAACATAGTTCGTACCCAAAGACGTCCGCCTCTCGTCGTATCACCTAATACCGAAGGCAAAAAGAAAACATTACAAGTTCAGTATGGCTGCTCACAGCAATGGGTGTGGAACTGACCCTATGATGTTCTCCGTCCCGTCACAATGTACCTAGCAAACCCAATGGTTTCATCTCACCAGGTGGTGGCGGCGACTTCCCGCCTCTGGGACATTATCCTGCAGGAGAACTCTCGTCAGCTGCAAGACGTAATATGAGCCGACTGGAGGTGAATTTGTGTATTTCAATTTAGAAGAACTTTAAGGTGAGTGGCGCCCCTCTAAAAACAGTTAATGACCCCACGGGTCTCAGATGTTATCATCAGCAAATAAAACCATTATTTTATCAATTAAACACATCACAATGAGGTTCATCTCTGTCTTATATACTACTTTTTGCAATGGCACTTCAGAGCACTTAATAGTTCAATGGCTAGTATCTTACTTTACAATACTAAATTGTCAGGTTCAGTACCGGGTTTTCATCATTCTCTTTTTTCTGTATATTAAATATTATAATTTTAGATTTATATAAATATAAATTATGGCCTTGTATAATATAATTTTAAAACAATTAAATTAACATCTGGGTTAATTGTATTTTCATTAACTAATAATAATAAATTATTTTAATAACAAAACAGCCCTAGAACATTGTAAATTTAATTCATCAGTTTGAGGTTGTTTTCCTTTTGTTTAATGTTTATAGTAATATTTTATTTTTCTCATTCACTATTATTTTGTATCAAGAGAAATAGTATTAATTTATTCTTTCATTTATTAATTTGTTAGCATGTTCGTTTCATTTATTATTTTCAATATACACATAGATTTTCTGCTATTCCGTTTTTTTATACATATTTATCCTCAATGGATTTACCTTTAATATTTATTAAGGTTTAAAATTAATTAATATTGTGAAGGCCTGCTGTCTTCACAATAAGTAAATATTAACGAAATCAAAATAAGATGTTTTATAGCATCTTTCTCGTTATTTAATAGGCACACATCGCAATTTTGAATGATTAACAATAAAACTAAAACACGCAGGCCTTTCACTTGGTAGTGACCAACCCTGTCAACAGCATGGTCCCGGTGACATGCGAAATCTACAAGAAGGTGAACGGGTGCGTGGACCCGGCCAGGATCTTCGGCTTCACGACGGTGAACGTCCTGAGGGCCTCTACCTTCGTGGCGGACATCACCCAGACCCCTCCGGAGACCATCAAGGTGCCGGTCATCGGAGGCAACACGGAGAACACCATCGTACCCATCTTGTCCAAGACGGAGCCCTGCCTCAACTTGTCCACCGTGAGTGAAAATAATTATTTTTCAGAAGTCTTTATGATTCTCATATTTATAAATAAATCGGAGGAAGTATGATGGAACACTGCGAATCTTGCTGGTAAGTGATAATGAGTTGAGTTTATTAATGAGTAACACTATTTGCTTCTATCCTTAGTTAGAGATAGTTAGGGATCTATACATGAAAAAAAATATTTTAAGTTAAAAGTAAACTGTTTGTCTCTAACTCCTTGATATATTGGTATTTAGAGAATTATATTAATCTTGATTTCCACAGACAGTAGTATTTGACTGATACTATTTTGTTTTCCACCTCATAAACTTATTCTTATTAGTTCTTCCTCGTCTAATTAACTTGTTACAAACTTTGCCACTAAATGACTGGAGTAAGTCATTTAAGTGAGTTTGGCTGTGTCAAGAACATAAGTAATTTTTCATTTACTCAGGACTTTATTGAAAGTATTTTCATTTCAATGGAAAGACGTTTAATGGATGAGGGAGAGGGAGAGAGGTGGAAATACCCGTCATTGACTTTACAAAAATGTATTTTTTTCCTTTTAATTTAGTATTTTGAAGTTTATCATGTAGAGAATATTTCTTGTTTTACCAACTGTATCTTATTTTATTATTGTAAAATTAAATTAATTTATTCAAATGATTAATTTTATCATATTAAAATTTTGTTGGGCCCCGAAAGTTGAATAAAGTAAAAATTTGAATATATTTGAAGAAATTGAGATAGTTAATTTTGTCCATCAGTGTATAATATTGATATTTATCAAATATATCGATATATCGGGCTTTAATTTTCTTAATTTGTTAAAGAAGAGAACAAAAAAAAAACTCAAAATTTAATTTGAAAAATCAAGTTAACTGCTTAAATATAAAAAAAAAAATGAAAATAAAAAGGATGATCAATATTAAATGAATTATTAAAAATCTATAATAGTACTAAAATTCACGGAATGGAGGATTTTCAATCTGGAAATCAGCAAAAGACTCGCTAATACCCATTTGCTTTCCACTTGAATCATAAAATAATTTGAGCACAAGGTCGAGAAAAAAATGTGACCATCTAAAATATTGACCTACACTCCCAAATTGTCAAAATAACGAGGTTATACAGGCTAAACGGCCCAATGTTTTTGTAGGCCACTTTTATTATCGATTTTGTGATAAAATTATTTTACGATCCAGGTAGAAAGCAAATGGATATTCACGAGTTTTTAGTACCTAATTAATTAGACAAATTTTGCCGACCTACAGATTGAAAACGTCCAATCACAAGAGTTTTTGTAAATAAAATAATTGCAGGTTACGATGAGATTAAGGTATTTACGATGTTTTAGGCGGATGTTAATAATTTGATAAAAAGGGGCCTGTGCAACGGACTATATGTATTATAAATCTTTTCAAATATATGTTATGGACAAGTTTAGTGTTCTACGCGAATGAAAAACACAATGAACCTAGATAATGATCAATTGAACTACTATATTATTTCTTGAGATATCGAGACGGAAAGGTTCGAAACTGAAAGTATAGTAAGACCACAGAATCGGAGAAATGAGGACGGTGAGAGTTTAAAATGGAAAACGGATGGGTTAAAGAAACTAATGCCAGAATCAGTGCTGTAGTAGGTTCTATTACCCATATATGGATATAAAAAGCGATTGAAGAAATAAAATTTGATTGTGGGGATCGAAAAAGAAATGCGCTGGAATAACAAAAGAATTGCGAAGTTGATCTGAATAAAGAGGTTACCAAGTTTTATTTTCACATTTACATTTCTGTAAGAATTATATAAAATAAATTTCTGAAACTATTTATAATTTAATAGCATTTATTGTTTTAATTGCGTGTAAATCAATACAATTATTTTTACTAAGAATTCCACAGCCTCTCACTTCGAGAACCAGTATCAGATCACAATAAATAATAATCATTTACTTAAAGTAGTATCCTTTTTGATCTGATTGTGTAATTGTTCTCAGGCAGAGATTTTAAGTATTATATTCTTGTAAGTATAAATAATATTATAGTCAATTATATAATTGTTTATAAAAGTTAATATCATCTATCTATGATCTTGTAAGTTACCCAACACAGCATACCATAAAAAAATAATTAAGAAACATATTGAATATTCATCCTGACCCGTACCTGTTCTAAAATTACTGCCTCAGATCAATATGGCATGCTGCCTGTTTTTTCTTATGTAGTTTCTACGCTCTCAGCTGATTATATATTTACAAACTAAGTAAACAAAGAAAGTTTTTCTTTAAAAAAATATATATTTAATTTTTTTTATTTCAGAGAATTATTGGTTTTATAAAGAATTTAATACGCCAGTTTAAGGTTCATTTAAATATTTCAAAAACTATGGGACAAACAAAAGTAATTATTTATATGAGGGCCGCACGGGTAACGCGTGGTTCGTTCATAATCACTTCGGTCATACTTATTCATGGAGAGTGAAATGCATCCGAGTTTCTCCGAAAGACTGTTATTAGCTTTTCATGAACAAGTCTGACCGAAGTGATTGTGAACCACGCATATCCCGTGCGGTCCTCATCTAAATGATTACTCAAACAAATGTATAAAATGCTATTTCACTATGCTTGTATTTCTGTTTGTTATTTTTAATATTTTCAATAGTCGGTATCAAGAGAGATGGGTGGCCAGAAGGGAGTTTCTTGGTGCAAGTTGCGCCATAAAAATTTTTGAGGGGGTACATTTTGACTGGGTTTTGAATTTTTGAGGGGGATACATATCGACGGGACTATGAATTTTTGGAGTTTCAAAACAGAGAACTAGAAAGAAAATATGGGACATACCACAGCAAGTCTAACTGTATATGATCCACGATTTGTATAATGCTACTTTCGCTTGCACTGTTTTTAGGAAGAGGAGAGAAAATCAATTTTTGTAGAGGGGAGGGGGTTCATGCGCCATCGACCTTGAGGGAGGAGGATGGGCACCTCTGTCAAGAGAAATAAAATAAACAGTTTATTTTATATATTTCGTTTAACAGTAATAATCAAATTTACTAGATGTGTTCATACTAATACAGTTGTAAATATCATAATAAAAGTTTTAAAAAAAAACAAAAAAAAAAACAGTAATAATATTGCTGTTAGTTAAGTTAGATCTGGGGGCCCACCCGACCCGCCAAGTTAGATAGTTGTGTTTTCCATAGATTGTAAAATGTCTAAACGCACCTTAAGAAACTCAACAGCATTGATGAGCTCAGCCCTAAGTTTAGGAACTTGTCCCTTTTCCCTTCTCTTTTAAAAGATTAATAACAACTAGCTTCATTTTAACGACATATAGTTAGATTTTATGTTCATAAATCGAAATACCATTTCGATATATGTATTAGAAAACTATCGGTGCGATATATACATCGATTTTTTTTTATTACTTACATCCCTACCACACTAAGTACACCTACTAAGTACACGTTTTAATTTACGAATAATTTGTTTTGCCTAAATTTCACACCCCACAATTAATTATTTTTTTCATATTTGTAGTATGCCACACACGCTATTAGTAATTTCTATTTTTAAAAAACATGCCTCAATAAAATGAAAATTGAATTTTTAATTTTTTTTTCCACTCTTTAAAAGTTGGGGTCTGACATGATGTTTCAAATAGACATATTTACAACTGCATTGACGGATAAATTATTCTTAATTAATATATTCAGAGCACTGTCGGATCTACAGGGGGGAGGGAGCTTTTGTGCTGAAGTCCCCCCAAAATGGTAAAACAACCATATTTTATTGAAAAAAATGTTTTAAACTATCTCTTAAACTATTATTGTTCGTGTAATTACATTTAATAGGACTTCAAGAATAACTAAGACAACACGTCATATGGGTAGTTAGTTTCTTTTTTTTTTCAAATTAATTATCGTTATATATATGAAAAAAAAATCCTTCGGGCTGCAGTCCCCACCAAAATTAAATACTGGATCCGCTAGTGATTCAGAGAATAGATCCAGCCAATGTTTATTTCATCATTTTCAAAAACGTCATGATTTATCTTTGTTTTTTAATATTATTTTTTATATCTGAAGATTAATTCAAAATTAAAGATGAGAATAATATAGATACGTATAAAGATAATAATAGCAAATAAATAAGCATTCACAAACTAAAATAAAATGTTATTCAATTTTTAATACGATAGTAACAAATTAATACAATTCATGTTATATACATAATACATTAATATTGCCATCATTTATATATAAATATTAATATTACTAATAAATTTGAAATATTACATACTGGCGTGATTTTCAAAAGTACCCTGCTTCTTTCTTGAATTTCATGAACTTCTTTAAGAGTAAATTTTATTTTCAAAATAGCTATAATTTCCGAATAAAATCAATGATTGATAAACCACACTAATAAGATATCAACAATACAATTGTAGGAACACAGATCTGTTTTATATTCATAGAAACAAAACACTGCATAATTGTAATGAGGAAACAAAGTCTTTGAAGAAAATAATTAGATTCGGACTGGCCAGAGACGTTTGGTTAAATCCCCCACTCCTCCACCTTTGCGAGGGAAAATTACTATTTGTATAATACGAAAATTACAATTTATCAGTAAAATTGAATTATTCATTATTAAATAAACATAATTTATTGTTACTAAAATTTTTGTTGTTGATAAAATAAAAGCTGTTTTCAAGATAGCGTCGACCTTAATTACAAGATTACTATATTTTATATATTCGTAATTGATGCTCTTTTAGTATATTAATGGACGCTAAATAAAAAAGAATGTTAATTTAATTAATTAGTTAACTATGAATTATTTATTTAAAAAAAAAAAAATCTGCAGGAGGAAAAAGTGCGGGTAACCAGAGCGATCCAGAGTGCTGGACAAGAAGCTTTCAAAGCGTTGGAAGGTAAACCCTCTGGTTTATCTACTGCCTATGGTATAACAAGAATGGTGGAAAATATGGCTAAAGCTATCTTTGGTAAGCTTTATATTCTTCGAAATTATATAATGCTAGATAATTAATATTATCGTATTTGTTTATATCAACATTTTTCCGAATCTATATTAATGATAGTTATGGTTAATTTTAGTTTTAATATTTTCATTTATCACCTTGCAATAACAAATTTAATTTAATTTTTTGGCTGACAAGACTCGTGAATTGATTGAGTTAATCAGGAAAAAAAAAATTAACAAACGACATCTTCAGAAAAATGTATATTTTTATACCTATGATTTCATACTAATTTAAATTATTAAAAATAATGCCTAAAAATGTATATAATACATCTAAAATATATATCATCTTTTAACATATAATTTAGCTTATTTACATTATTCTTATAGTTAGACTAAGGTATTAAAAAATTTCAAAGATTATTGGGCAAGTTCCTAAACCAAGTGCTGAGATAATCGATGAGCACTGGAAATCCTAAACTCATCGATGTAACAGTAGGAAACTTCCTTAACTCAGCACTTAAATGAATCGATTAGCATTGGATATCCATCAATGGTTAGTACTGAGTTCAGAAACTTGCCCATTGCGATATAGGTTTGTACCATTCGAATATTTTGACTGGACTATTATTTTTTTTATCCAATAAAATTTTCTTTTAGTATTATTAATTGAAATAATATTTTTGCTATGTTTTCTTTTTCTATCAATTTTAATAACTATAGTCAACTAAGTATTTAATTATTTGATGAGTGTTGAAATTCTGAGCTGGAAGTCAGTTTTTCTCAAGTGAATGTTTTATAAATGTGTATTGATGATATATGAGTTATACATATGTCATTAACATGGATACTATGTTCTGATATACTTATATCATCAAAATACAGTTATAAAGCATTCACTTTCTTAACAAAAATCAAAATTGACTTACACTAATATTTTAACTCCCTCATATGTTATTATTGACTGTATTAAAAACCCATAATCTAGCAAAAATACCCAAAATGTAACAAACTTGGCGAAAAATAACTACTGGATTTTTTAAAATATCTTAACTGTATTACATGTGACAAAAGAAATATGTTATTACTAAGGAAAATAAAATTATAAGTATATATTTTTAGATGTATATTTAAAAAAATGATGTTTTATTGATTTTTTGGCCTTAAGACTTGTCAAAGAAATTTCTATTTAACCAGACATATTGCTTGCTCCTTAATTAATTCGATGATTCGGAAACACAAATATATTATGTGAAATTTATAATGTTTATATTAAATCTTGAAATTCTATATTAATGGTCTTAAATTTCGTAATGGCTATATTAACTTGGACTTTTGACTGGAACTAATATAATGATGTAATAGTTTTATAGGTTTAGAGAAGTTTTATTGAACTTAAATATAAATTTATGGATCTCAAAAGAGCATAAGGGACTTAAATAGGTGAATTTATCTCCTTTAAGAATCGTCCTAATCTACAAGCATTATCTTTATTGATTGACTTAAGATAACTAATACTATCATCGACAGCTTGTGACCCTAAACTAATTCTCCTTCGTTTATCGAACCTCTTGCATTGAAAGTCAATGTGCCTTGGATCTTCCAGGCATTGGCATGTTGGGCAGTAACCACTTTTAGCTAGACTCATTAAATGTATAAATTTATTTGTTCTACCATGGTTAATTCTGAGCCTGTTGCAACATGTTCTGAAAAAGGGAATGATGCCCCAAAATGTTAAATTTTTGATGTGCTTGTTTCTTTTAACAAATAGATAGCAGCAATTCATAAAATTGAGTATACTATAAAATTCAATTAAATTAATTCTTAAAGACTTCTCAAATTCAAAAGCTATAAAAATTTTAGCTTATTATTATTTTATCAGAAATCTTTAATATTAATTAATTTTGGATAATCATAATAACAGGATAATAATGCTGTTTTAAAAAAATTAATAATAATTTATATTTTTTTGTTAAGCAAAAAAGTATGTTGCAAAGGGAAAAACGATTGAATCTTAAGGCTCAACTTCTCATAATAGGCATATCAATAGAAATAGCCATTACATTACGTAATCAGCGAAAACATTCTGTAAATGACTTATCACCAAATCGATGCTCATTCTCATTTATTAGCTTACTTAGTTTATAGACCATGTCTATCAGTTGCAATCACTTTATAATACTTCAAATTCTTCATTGGATGATGTAAAATAATATAAAATTGTTGATAGAAAGATATATCTGTGCCCAAAAGGTAAAGGACACCATGTCCATTTTTTTTTATTAAATGATTTTGTAACTAAGAAACAAATTTTAGTAGCTCAAAATTATGGAAAATTGTCTCTCCAAACAAATAAAAAAATGTACCCTGGTGTCCCTTGACTCTAGGACAATCATTAATCATTATTTTTAATATTAATAATAATTTATTACACTATGCTCATGGTATGTTTATAGAATTTTTTTTTTATTACTTCGTAAGCATAGCATTCTATTCAAATATATTGGTTTTTTATATATACAATGTGATCTGTATATTTGTAATATCTTATAACAAGCCTAGTTTTTGAAATTATTTCAAAATTATTAATTGATTTTTTGTATATAAAATTAATAGAAACTATATTACTTCTTTAAAAAAATTCTTTTTTTAGGTGAGCAAGGAATAACGGAATGTGCTTATGTGATGTCCAATCTGATCCCAGATCTAAGATATTTTTCATCACCTGTGATGCTCGGTCCTACAGGTATCCAGAAAATCTTACCACTTCCGGAGCTTACAAACTATGAGAGCTGTCTGCTTCAAACGGCTGTTGAAACTTTAAAAAAGGATATTCAAAAGGGGGAATCCTATGCATTATCATAAAATAAATGTAATGGAACTTTGAAGTCTCAATTTGTTTTATAATTATTGTATTATTATTTTCAGAAGTAATTTTATTAATAAATGAGTATAAAGAAATGAATTAAGTCTCTGAAATGTTTGTAATCTGGAAATAACTTATTTTGAAAGAATTTTAAACGTTTGATATTACACATATTAAAATGAAAGTTTATTAAAATTGTTTTCTTGAATTTTATTTGAATATTTACTTCAGTGGGTGTTTTTTTTTTTTTTTTTTTTTTTTTTTTTTTTTTTTGTATTTATTAGCCTCTAACAATAAATATTTGCAGCCTTTGTGTTTCTTTTATTGCTCAGCTGTTAGAAAACATTAAGATTATTTGTCTTATAGTAAAGAACTAGTTCATCATAGTTTGTTTTTGCTTATGGATTGATACTGACATTTTTTAATATAAAGTATATCTTATATTTTTAAAGATATCTTTAAAGTTATATTTATTAAATATAAGATCACCTTTGTATTGAAAATCTTAATAAAATAAAATAAATAGAGGAATTAGATTTATTATTATATTAGCACATAACTGATAAAAATATTCAAATCTCTTCAAAATTTGGTAGTCGTTTAGAATATATTATATCATTATATGCTGTTTATTGTTATATTTTATTGCTAGGGCATTGCATGTTTAGTTCTAACCCTAATAATAAAATATGAAATACCCTAAAAATTACGATACCGCAGTGAGAACCCACATTATATGGCTATTGGTATTTGTTTCAAATGCATTTGACGTAAAAGCGGTATCAGCAAAACTTGCTAATTCTCATTAACAATATAATATTATTCAAGCTGATCTATTCAACTCACAAAACTGGTGAAACTTCATACTTTACCACAAATTTTAAAGTAACAATTTAATTAATAAGTGATTAGCTTGTCTCACTAAAAAATATCCCTCTAGTTTAATAGTTAAGCAATAAGACATTGCAATCCCTGAATTTATGCGAAATACTTTTGCAAAAAACCTATTTGTTAGGTGCAGAAGAACTTAAGTTTGAAGTTTTCTCACTTACTATGAGTTTAGAATTCTATTATTCAGAGTATAGAAACCATATCTGGATCTTATTTTATTGATTAAAAATATCCTAAACATTTTTTCTGTTTCTTTATTATCCAAAGGGGTCTATATTATTCTATATCTACATTATGGGATCATAGACTGCTCAATTTACCTTTCCAATACATTTTTTAGTCAAAGACCAGCATAAAGAGTAATATTTTAATTTTAAAGCCTAAACATATCACTGGCACTATGTTAAAGTAACGAATCTGAAATGTTGGGGAGGTTAACATATGTTAGTTTCACATGGGGCCGACGATATGATAAGAATTCTATTGCAACTATAGTATTAGTACCTAAGAGGTTTTCTGCAAGCATTACATTTTATTTCGAAAACAGTTTCTTTAAGTGCTCTAAAATGTAGTCTCAGTCTTATAGTAAGGGCAGAGACAATAAGTCTGCAAACAATCTTTGAAACACTATGTGTCCTATTTTTAAAACCATCTGAGTTTTGAAACTTCACAATTTTTTCAATGACTATTATTGTATTAGGTTCCATAATTTCCATAATTAGGTTCCATTCAGAAAGTCACTCTCAATGTAAAGCATTATTTTATTTTTATTTGGACATTTCAGGGATACTTTGTCTCCTTCTTCAGTATCTAAAATTATATAAATAGTTCATTATAGGTTCTATCCTGAACCACTTATTAACAATTTTGAAATTAATAACATTTCAAATTTATATTTAACTAAATTTAAATAAAGATCGTGGTAGCTCAGTGGGTTGGGCAGTGAGTTCAGAGTTCTGGTTTAAAATCAGGCTGATGGCAGATAAATTATTTATTATGTCGGGGACTCTCCTGGGGCACACCCAGCCTCTATAAAGTGGGTATTCATAATTAATTAAATTGAACGTGATGTTGGTCAAATCACCTCCTTACATAACTGTTGACCAAGAAACATTACTTCCCAACATAGTACTGAGCTCAAGACTCTTCATGGGCTGTAGTGGCACAGTTTTTTAATTTAAATAATGTAATATACATTAATTAAGACAATAACTTATTTACATAATTTTCCCCAGTATGGGTAAATCTTAGTGAGTAATAAGCTTGGACAATGATCAAACACTCAACTAAAATGATTAAAATGATGTAGAGGTGGTTGACCGTTGATATAATATGAGAAGGAGTTAATCGGGGGGTGCGGTCAAATAAGTACTAAATTAAAATATATTAATTATTTTAATTTTTGCCGACGTTTCGACCCACTTTGCAGGTTGCCTTCAGGGCGTGGGATGTAGCACTGCGGGAGGCAGTTGAAACACTGAAACATAATAAAAAATAAGTGCTACATCCCACGCCCTGAAGACGACCTGCAAAGTGGGTCGAAACGTCAGCAAAAATTAAAATAATTAATATATTTTAATTTAGTATTTATTTGACCGCACCCCCCTGATTAACTCCTTCTCATAAAAAGATTAAAGTATATTTAGGGTTGGGGAGAGTAAATACTAAATTTGTTTTTCTCTATTGTGATTCCATGTATTGTCTTAAAAAATGTATATAAAGTGATTTGAAATTAAGGATGAAACAAAATTTGATAGGAACTTCAGTCAAAAATTTTTTATTAGGTTAGCTGACGTTTTGACCCAAATATGTCTGTCGTTCTCAGGGCTATCATTTGAAAGTCAGGACAAGAACTGTTCTTGGCTCGACTTCCAAACTAAGAAGCGATATTCTCTAATGGTGGTCACACTGCTAAGAATAATAATAATACTCTAAAATATCCCTTAGGTTACCTTCCTTAAGTAGCCATCTCGGATGAGAGAGCGAGTCAAGGAGTTCTGAAGAGTCAGCCCATCAAGCTGACGAGGCGGGTTGTTCTTAACCAGCTCTCCTCAAATTTAAATTATTTAAAATAAAAAAATGAAAAACATATCCATAAAAATATTATTAGTGAGTTGTAATTTATTTAAAATTATATCATAAGTGATGATGACCATTCTAACAGGTATAAACATCTCATTTTACTCTTCCTCTCATAATTAACGCAATCTACTTGTTCAATCCATTCATCCTTCCTATTACACATTGATTGTGAAAAAGGTACTGGGCATGATTCATTTATACCGCAAAAGCAATATTCTCATCATGATTCTAGATAAGAAAACAAAATAAATAATTAATTTCTTTGGTGTATTGTGAAGTATTTGTGAACATATTATGAAATAATGAATAAAATATCTATAAAAAAATTATTTGTGTTCATCAAGTATAGCAATTATGTCCAGTGATTAAGATTTTTCTTTATATGACATCATTATTGTATTAAATCTTATAATAAAATTAATTTATGCTTTTTTTTATATTTAATTTTTCTTTAATCCACTTAAAAAACTAAAAATTCAATTTAACTATTTGTTTTAGGTTAATAATTAAAAAATCATAGCTTTTTTGTTAATTGTTTATCTGGATTCTACCAATAATTTTGAAAAAACAGAGGTTCTAAATTACAGTTTACTGTAGTATCAATATTTTGTTATTTAGACTAACTATTTTGTTTGTATGATACCTTGAAGCAGTGAACTTATATTTATATTCATCAATGACCTAATTGTACCACTTATTAATATTATTTTGAATATTGAATTTTTTTTTGTGTTAAAATATATTTTTTATTTCCTTATATCTTAAATTGGCCAAGAAAAAGAATAAAAATTACTCTAAAATCTGAATTTTTATGAATTCAAGGAGGGTACGTAGAATCAAAAAGCTAAATCATATAAAAATGTTTTATCTTTTTTTTTAATAATTGGTTCATTAAATTTTTTTATCCTTTTTAAGTTAAATGAAATTAAGGTTATTTATTTCAGAAGTAATACTTTACTTTTAAACCATTGCCCATGTGGTTAAATTTAACAAGAAGGACATAAATGATTTTTTTACAGATACAACTTTAGAGCAAAATTAAAAAAAAAAAAATTTGATCATCTAATGATATAAGCATCGCTAAAACCACATAACCATGTATAGTGTAAAATTTGTTTGTTTACACTGTATATTTTTTTTAGATTTTTTATTTCCTAAAATATTAATATAATATAGTTTTTTTTGTATTTTTTCTAAAAATAATCGAGATGTCACATAAAAATAGTGAAATAATTGATTAAGATATGTTATACACAAAGAACAGATCATTACTTATAATATAAATAGTATGATTTCATGTTTAACATATTAAGATAACTACAAATCAAGTAGCTTATTACAGTCAAAATCTTCTCAAACCAATTACTTTCGTTAAAACTACGTCACAATGCTACTTTATTTTTCAACTGATGGTACTAAAATTAATTTGAGACTGAGATAACTTTGTTGTAAATGATTTTTGAGTGAAACCTCAATTTGCCACATTTGCTAGAACCTTTTCAAACCAAGATCACTAAATCTGTTAAGTCTGGCAATACAACATACTTTTAGAATATGAATAAATATTATTAAAAATCTTAGTTTCTATTTTGATTTGATGTCAGAGTATATATACTATGTATATACACAATATATTATTATTTTTAATAAGATAATATTAATTTTTTTTTATAAATCAAACACCGAAAGATGGGGTAACTTTGATTCCATGATGGATACACTGTGTTGATTTATTCTGCAAAAACGTACTTTGTGTAGGCATGTACTGTGCCTTTTATCTTGGGGCAGTTTGCGAACCCTAGTTCACTTCACTCCTTGTACAATTAGGTTTCATTTATTTTCACTGCTATTTCAAAATTATTGTTTTCATGAAACTTTTGCTTGTGCCTTAAGAGTAGTGTCAAACTTAATAATAAATCAAAAAATGTTTTAGGAGAATGTATTGAAATGATCTACTCAGCTTTTAAAGAAAATATCAGCATTTTATAATTGATGTGGATTTTCGGACTGGAGTTTGAGATTTGGTTTAACCAAAAAGCATTAGATTTAACCAGGTAAGTGATAAATTTTTATAATGAATCATTTCATAAAGAAATTGTATTACATTAGTCACATTTTATGAAGACAAAATATTTAGCAAAACCATTGTTTTCAATAAAATATAAAAAACAAACAAACAGAAACCTCAATTTTTTATTTGCTGAATTTAGGGTTAAAGAAGGTCCTTTTAGGTGTATTTAAATAATAATGTGTTTAGTTCTAGTTTATATTTTATACATATTTAATTCTTATTCAACTCTGCATGTTACCCATTCAAATTATTTTTTATATGATCATAACCATTATTTTTATATAGTCT